AAATGGTATGGTGGCAACTCTTCCCTTCTCTCTAGCTCTAATTATGAACACAACACAATGATTCACCCCTATTCTAAACAGTATACTGAAATCTGAATTCAGTGGACATCATGTATGTATAACAACCTAGCCACTCCAACTTCAAAAGAATCAAGTTCCAACTCCACAACACATATGACCGTTACAGAACCACTTCTTAGTACCACCATTCTGGCCTTACAGTCACGTGGCAACGAAACTGATCCTCTTTTTTTATAGAAAAAGCAACTACTCTACTGACCATTCATAGGCACAATTCAGTTAACCGGGTGGTCAACCAAGCATTTTGTGCCTGCTGCAATCTTCAAGTATATACTATAACCAGCTTATTTGTTGATACTAAGAGATGTAAAAATAATCTAGAGTAGCAAAGGTTTAGATGTTGTACCAGTCAGCAAATCTGCACTGCACTGTTTGGAAGAGCATCAAATGGATCCAGCTATCTCTGGTCAGAGACGCACCAAAAGTCCGACCTGACAGCCCCTTTTCTTCTCCCCTCGCCTCCTCACATATTAAAAATATCGAGTATTAAATTTCTTCTTTAGCAATGGAAAGCATTAAGGGAAGCCTGATGAGAATTGAATAACTTCCTTCAAATAAATAAGTGACAATTAAATGAGGCACTCAACCAAGGCAAAAGCTTCATGATTTGTATGCCTTCTTTTCACTAACGGTGATTCTTACTTTAGTGTAGCCCTGAGTGAAAAAGAAAATAAACTTGTGCCTTATCGATCAAAATGTCACTACCTAGACTAATGGTCCAAACAAAATCACCTCTATGGACAAAAGATTCACCAATGGATAATTGACTGTAATGTGTATTATGAATCATGCATATCTGGCTCTAAATTAGCATGCCAGGAAAAAAATCAAGAAATTAAAGGCAATATTTCTCGGGGGATAAGATGCATCTTTCACATCTCAGTTAAAAAAAGCCCCAACATCACCAGTAAAAGTGTTTGTCTAAGTCTTGTCAATGAGTGGGATTGAAGGATGTAAAACTTTAGAGAACATAAGCATGGCATGGCAATACATGGATTGTTTTCTATACCTCAATGAAGATGGTCACCTATCGATGGTCGTGGTCTGGCTGAGCTACAACATGATGGTGGCTGCTGCAGTCACGAAGATTCAGGCGTTATCATTGGCACCACCAGTTTCTCTGACCTAAAAGAGAGTCTTGCTGTTTCCATCCTTGATACTGCCGGCAGCGCCATCAGTGCATGTCAGGCTTGCATGTTTGCCTCGAGCAAGCTGCCGTGAGCAGAAGAAAATCAACCATTAAGCAAAGGTCCTTCTTCTATACCTACAAAAATGAAGCAAGTTATACACTTTGTTTGGTTGAACAAACTGGCAAATTTGGTGTTGTTACCAACAGATCACAAGATGGATTCTGGAAGTATACTTGCTTGAACTGCTCTAGTAAATTGCCTATTGTCTATCACTACTAACAACACTATCAGTCAATTAAGTTACTTCATCCCATTATAATTGAACAAAATAAATATAAATACGCACATCGAGCCGTCTCCTTTTCTCACAAAAACAACACCAGGATCGTCATCAGTAAGAAGTGCACACAACAACCATGCCTCAGTTGATAAATAATGATGCAGTAATCAGAATATATAAAAAGTTAAAAACTTGACTTAAATAACATTGTATTGTCGCTTCTGAACTTAGACCAAGCAAACTAACATGGGATCTTTAACCTGGCCCACAAATAAGAGTTTAGCACATTATTTTGCGGACCTTTAACTTGCACAACATCCATATACAGAGTAAGATTACTGTAGCCTCTACAATACTCAATGATGGCATACATGACAAACAAAAGATCATGCAGGAAACACTACCATTCTGCATAGCAGAACTACTATCCATCCCATTCATCTGGATGTAGAATAATTACTACTATATCTTGCCAGTTCACTAATCAGTACAAAATGTCACGTTGCTGAAATCAGCAGCTTGCTTATCTTCATGATAGCTCCAATGATCCACACTTTAAAGACAAAATGCAAGGCTTTTTTTTGCGAGATAAAATGCAAGGCATTATTAACTCTCTATCATTGCTAATACACCCAGCTGGGTGTTTCAGATCATGCGAATTGGTCTGAAAGCAATTACACATACACCCAGGTTAGTGCTTATACACACAATTGGATTGGTCTGAAAGCACCCTTCCCCAATTCGAATTTTGTTCTCTTACACATACATCAAACCAACACATATGATCTGAAACAAGAGGAACAGCGGGCTAGATACCTTGGAGCAAAAACAAGAGGAATTGCGGCCGGACCTCGAGGTCAGCAAGAGAGCACATTTTGTGTGGTAGCCACAAGCATCTAGCTGTCGATCTCTGACTCGGGCTACCACAATCGCTGGAGAAAACCCTCATCTCAGCCTGGGAGCAAGGTGACACATCAACTACTGTAACTACCTCTCATTGATGAGAAGGGAGAAGAAGCTCACCCAGCAGCAGAAAGGAAGGCGATAACCAGAGGGATGACATGCTCCACCCCACGTCCTCGTCCTCGTCCTTGCACTTGGCCAGGCGATGAACGCGGGAACACCCTCTTCAATCCCTGCGTCCTCACCCTCTTCCTCGGGCAGCCCTCTTGCTCGGTGTTAGGCAGTGGGGAAGTGGAACAATAAAGATCCAGGAGTGGATCGAGCCACCACCAACCATTAGGTCGCACTTGACCTCGCCGGCGCCGGCTGGTGACCCTCTCCTGTCCGCCACTGGGTCCCCCTCCTCTCCTTCCTTCTTTCCCTCTCTCCAATCTTCTATCTCCTGCAGGGATCGATCCATGTGGTCGCCTTTGCCTCTGCCACCGGAGAGGCTCGCCTCCGCGGTCGCACGCCTTAGATCCGGCCGGAGGAAAAGGAGGAAGCGGCCCGCACTATCCTATTCATCGACGGCGACGACCTGAGCGCAACCGATGGGAAGGCGAGGAGGAGAAAGAGGCGGGGTGGTGGAGGAGCAGCCGAGGGCGACGGCGGCGTCCTTGGCCGAGCGCACGCACAGAAGGGACAGGGAGGGGTGCAGCGGCTATAGGGATTGAGGCGACGAAGAAAGGGGGCTAGGGTTCGTTTGGCGGCTGGGGTCAGATTGGGGCGAGACACGGGTGATTGGGTGCGAAGCGCGCCCAGGTGATTGGTCAAAACCTCCTGCACCCGGAAACAGCCAACCCAGCTAACAAGTGCCCGACGTAAGCCCACTTGTCATTGGACTAAAAACAACCCTGAGGTATGTAGGGGAGCTCCTAGTGTAAGCCATCTATTCTTTGCGGATGATTCATTACTCCTATTGGAGGCCAATGCTGAAAGTGCTCAGGAAATTAATAGAATTCTAAATCTTTATGAAGCTGCTTCAGGACAAGTGATTAATAAAGATAAATCATCAATACTATTCAGTGCAAACACAAGGCAAGGGTTGAAGGAAAAAATGAAAAGCATTATGCAAGTTACCTCTCAAGGTCTATCCCCAAGATATCTTGGTGTTCCATCCTATGTGGGTAAGGCCAAAGCAAGAACCTTTGAGTATGTAAAAGAGAGGGTGTGGAAAAAGATCCAAGGATGGAAGGAAAAACTCCTATCGAAAGGTGGAAAAGAAATCCTCATTAAAGCGGTAGCACAAGCAATCCCGGTGTATACCATGGCTTGCTTTGATCTAACCAAGACCCTATGTGAAGAGTTGAGCAATATGATAAATAGATACTGGTGGAGCCAAGTGGATAAAGAGAATAAAATACATTGGGCTAGCTGGGAGAAGATGACGAAGACGAAGAAAACAGGAGGCTTGGGATTTAGGGATCTACATGCCTTCAATCTGGCCATGCTTGCAAGGCAAGCATGGAGGCTCATTCAAAACCCAGCTTCCTTATGTGCGCAGGTCCTGTCAGCAAGATACTATTCAGATGGCTCAGTTCTTCAAGCCAGGCCTAGAAGCGGCATATCCTACACATGGCGCAGTATACTAAAAGGAGTAGATCTGCTCAAGAAAGGGATCATATGGAGAGTAGGCAGTGGTAGCAACATCAATATTTGGTCTGACCCCTGGATTCCAAGAGGAAGTACTAGGAGAGTCATCACACAGAGGGGTGGAAATGTTGTAACTAAAGTAAATGATTTGATTGATCCTACCACAAACAATTGGGATGAAGACTTAGTTAGACAAACCTTTCTCCCTGAAGATGCAAATATTATTCTACAAATCCCAATTCATACACATGAAGATGATTGCATAGCATGGCACTATGATAAAAAAAGGTATATTTTCGGTGAAATCAGCTTATAGAGTTGCTGTAGACACCACGGCTCGTGAATCTATTTCAGGACTAATTTCTTCCTCAAGTACAGATGAAGATACATGTGGTTTTAATTGGCCAAAGTTGTGGTCGCTTTCCCTCCCCAACAAGGTTCTTCACTTCTTATGGCGCATGTCCACAAATACCTTACCACTGCGCATGAAGCTCCAGCAAAGAGGTATGCAAGTTGACACCCGTTGTCCAATCTGTTTTCGGTTGGATGAGGATGGTGGCCATTGTTTTATTAAGTGTAAGAGGGTAAAGGATGTGTGGAGGAAAGCTCAGTTGGAGCATGTCAGATTACAAATTCTAGATTGTACTGATGCACTGAGCTGTATGGAGAAAATATTGAACCTCAATGAAGAAGAAAAAATTAAATCATGCATGCTTCTCTGGCGTTGGTGGCATGAGAGGAATAGAGCAAATGCAGGAAATGAAATTAAACCTTCTGATGAAATATGTCATTCTATTAACTATCTTTTTATGCAATTTTCTAAGGTAAGGCAAGAAGGGAGAATACAAGAGCAACAACAAAAAGAAAGATGGTCCAGACCTCCACCGAAGATCTTGAAAATCAACACTGACGGCGCCTACCTGAAGGAATCAAATTCTGGAGGTTGGGGCTTTGTTATCAGGAACGATTGTGGTATGGTAATAGCAGCTGGTGCAGGAAATTTGGGGCAAGTTTCGAATGCGCTCCATTCGGAGGCAATGGCAATGTTGCATGCCATAAACGCAGCTATTCAGATGGGTTGTCACTGTGTCATAATGGAGACTGACTCTGTGCAACTTCAGTCAGCAGTGAACAATGAAGACTATGATCTCTCTACATTAGGAGCTATTTTCAAAGATATTAAATTTAAGCTGAGAGTAAGCTTCAATCATGTAACTGTTGTGTCTTGTCCTAGAACTTGTAATGTAGTGGCACACTGTTTAGCAGTGTATGGTACTAAACTAGGAGCTGGCATAAGTGAGATTTGGCTTGATGAGAGTCCAGACTTTGTAAATGACGCTGTTGCTGGCGACTTGTCCAGCATTGGTTCTTAATGGAATGTTTCGTGTTCTCTTTAAAAAAAAAACAACCCTGAGGTAAAATAAGATGTGACTGCAGGTGAACATCCTACGGCTCAGGCGCGCCAGAAAGGCAGATCGGACGGCTGACGAAGCTCCAATCGGGGGAGCCTTGTGGAGGTGAGTTGGCTAGCTTTATTATAGTTTTAAATAAGCTTAACAGATAGAAGAATTTCTGCAATGGTATCGTTTATGAGGAAAGATTCTTGCAGGAATTCTCTGTGCTCCAATGTAGATGTAAGTACCTGTTGTATATCACTATATTTTTACATCAGCATGTATTTTGTTAATCGGCGTGGATCCAACCTTTATATGATCTAAATTTAGTTGTAGCAAAATGTATGATTAAAGGCCACAATGTTGATTTTTGCAAGAAAAACTTCCTGGTAGTTTTGCATCCTGAGCTGCATGAGTGTACTATCTCATATCAGTGGGTTTGAATACTTTGGTTCTGCAGTGGGTTTTTCAGTGGGTTTTTTTTACTGTGTTGTCCTGTCGTATCCCTAGTTCTTACATCATACTCCCTCCGTCCGGATTAAATGTCGCAGAAATGGATAAAACTGGATGTATCTAGAACTGAAATACGCCTAGACCCATCCATTTATTTCCGGATGGAGGAAATACATGTCAATATGTCATGCCTTTCTATTCTTCAGTACCTATTCTATCTCTGTTGTATCATGTTTTTATAACTGAATCACCATTCTTCTATATAAGGCATGCAAGGGGAAGACGACTATGTTAGAATCTGAAGGGTTACAAACCAGGTCTTTGCAAAAGATCCAAACACCAGGAGATAATAAATCAACTCCATTTTTCATAGATACTACTCTAGCATAGAGAAACCCAACTCCCACTGATAATAAGCATATTCCAGTGGCCAAAGAACTAGTCCGCTCTAGTCCAACAAAAGAATGTCAACTCCATTCTAAGAAGCGTGTTCGTATCCTCGTATCATGAAATTTTATAGCATTCTGATAATATTTTCTACATGTTTCTTACCCATCTCTCTTTTAGAAAATAAGGTTAAACGATGCAAGAATTCCTCCATTGGGATCGTATTCGAGGAAAATATCTTGCGGGAATTCTCTGTGCTCCAATGCTGATGTAAGTACCTGTTGTATATCACTATATTTTTACATCAGCGTGTATTTTGTTAATCGGCGTGAATCTAACATTTATTTGATCTAAAATTAGTTGTAGCAAAATGTTAAAGGTGCCAATGTTGATTTTTGTAAGGAAAACTGCCTGGTAGTTTTGCATACTGAGTTGCATGAATGTGTTATCTCATATCACGCACATTACTGAATTTTAGTGCTTCTCTGGTTGCCCATTCATTCATTGTGTCAATGTTTCTTTCGTATTACCTTACCTGGCTGATGATAGCTGTGCCATATTGTGTTAATTTGGTGTAGGCTAGTTGCCCAAACGTTCGTTGTGTCAATGTTGCTTTCCTATTATCTGACTTGGTCAATGATAGCAATGCTAGTGTGTTAATTTTGTGCAGGCTGCTGAAGATAAGAAGACAAACTCTGAAAACGGCAAGGCAACCCCATTGTTTTTTTCCAGTAAATCTAGGCAAGGTAATATGGCAATAACTCATGATTAATCTGTTTGGTTCCCGTCCTAATTTATGTTATGATGCAGTGGTCGAGACACTCTCCACTATCAATAATACAAGCCTGCCAAAATCGCCATCTGAATCTGTTCAGTATCCTCTATCTCGAATGCAACGAAATAAATGTATGTTTGTGAATCAATTAATGGCTGAAGCAATGATGGAAATGGTGGATGAATCAGAGGTGCAGAGTCGTGCGACACAACAACTGATCAATGTTTTCAGAGACAGTGTAGCAAAGCAGCAAGAACTTGCCCACATGCTTATGGGCGTCATCTGTGCTGAGGTTGCAGATTGTGACGTCGTAGATGGTTAGGTTCTGCTCATTTATTTGCACTGGCATCAATCTTTGATTGCCCAGTGGATGTAATTTCCTGTAATATATGCTGGATGTGCAATGTTATTCCCTGTATGTCGTACCTTTGCTTGATCGGTTTTGGTCCTATGCATAATTGCTCGTCGTAATGGGCTCAAATTATCTAATTTGGCCTAAAGACATGAACGAACTTTAGTGGGCCCATTAAGTTAATGGGCCGTTACTAGGCCGAAAGTTAATGGTCGTCCCTCTTACCTCCCGGGTCATTAACATGTCGACATCGAAGTGGGCAACAGGTGGCCCCAATTTATTTCTCGGGCCGTTAACAGGCCATTACTAAGTTTGGGCTACATATGGCCCAACTATATTGTAGGCCTTTAGCAGGCCGAAAGAGACAGCGGGCTTGTACTGGACCATGAAGAGCATGGGCCGCTAAGAGGCCGAAAGTCAGGTCGTATTGTAAACGACCCAACTGTGTTGTGGGCCTTTAGCAGGCCAAAAGAGAAACCGGGCTGGTATTGGACCATGAAGGGCATGGGCCGTTAAAAGACCAAAACTAAGGTCCGACTACAAATGGCCCAACTCATTTATGGTCTGTTAACAGGCCGAAAGGCACACAGGGCCGGGAATTGGCCCAACACTTAAATGGGTCGCTAAAAGGCCCAAACTCAGATCCGACTACAAATGGCCCAACTAATTTATGGGCCGTCAACAGCCTGAAAGTGACACTGGGCCAGAAATTGGCCCAACACTTAAATGGGCCGCTAAAAGGCCGAAACTCATGTCCGACTACAAATGGCCCATCAGATTTATGGGCCGTCAACAGGCTGAAAGACACACCGGGCCGAAAATTAGCCCAACATTTAAATGGGTCGCTAAAAGGCCGAAAAATGTACATCCTAAAAATTGGCCCATCCATTAAATGGGTCGTTAACAGGTCGAAATCTCATCGGGCCGATATTGAGCCCAAATATATAGCGGGCTGTTAACGGGCTCGAACTGACGATGGGCTGCAATGGTGTCAAATCTTTAACGGGCCGTTGACGGGCCGAATTGGCACATCTCGTATGGGTCGTGGGCTTAAATGGACCTGACACAAGTAGGCCTTATATGGGCCGGCCTGCTAATTTTTACTGGGCCGGCCTTTTTCACCGGAATGGGCCACTATTGGGCTGTGCCACGTGTCGACCTGTCATAGGCGCGTCCTGTCCAATGAGTGGATGACATCTGTCCCAACGGTGAGGCAACACGTGTTTCCTGCGGCCAATGATGATTTTACATGTGGAAAATCCCCATTGGTCCGGGCTGTTAACGGGTTATCGGATCCAAAACCGGACTTGATAGCTTAACGGCGTTCCGTTACGGTGGATGTCATGTGTCGGTCACCCTTGACGAAATCACTTCTGTGACGCGCGATTTATTGTCATGGAAGTGGACACTTCCGTGATGATAATTTTGGTAATGTCATGGAACACTTCTACGACAGCACAGATATGACTATCTTGATTTTGTCATAAAATCGTCATGGATGTACATGCATGACAAAAAACGCGACCTACTATGACAAACACGTATCATCACGGAAGTGTATTTTTTTGTAGTGCAACGTAACTGGGTGATTATAAAGATGCTCTACAGGTATCTCCAAAGGTATTTGTTGGGTTGGCAAAGATCGAGATTAGGATTTGTCACTCCGAGTATCAGAGAGGTATCTTTGGGCCCTCTCGGTAATGCACATCATAAGAAGCTTTGCAAGCAAAGTGACTAATGTGTTAGTTGCAAAATGGTTTATTACAGAATGAGTAAAGAGACTTGCCGGCAACGAGATTGAACTAGGTATGTAGATACCAACGATCGAATCTCGGGCAAGTAACATACCGATGGACAAAGGGAATAATGTATGTTGTCATAACGGTTCGACCGATAAAGATCTTTGTAGAATATGTAGGAGCCAATATGAGCATCCAGGTTCCGCTATTGGTTATTGATGAGAGAGGTGTCTCGGTCATGTCTACATAGTTCTCGAACTCGTAGGGTCCGCACGCTTAATGTTTGATGACGATATTGTATTATTTGTTCGGAGTCTTGGATGAGATCACAAACATTACGAGGAGTATCGAAATGGTCGAGAGGTAAAGACTGATATATAGGACGATAGTATTCGGACACTGGAAGTGTTCCGGAGTGTATCGGTATTTATTAGAGTACCGGAGGGGTTACCGAAACCCCCGAGAAGGTACATGGGCCATATGGGCCATAAGAGGGGAGCACACCAGTCCACAAGGGGTGGCGCCTGAGGGAGTCCTGGATTAGGGGGTCCTCGGATAGCCGGACTATATCCTTCGGCCGGACTGTTGGCTTATGAAGATACAAGATTGAAGACTTCGTCCCGTGTCCGAGTGGGACTCTCCTTTGCGTGGAAGGCAAGCTTGGCAATTCGGATATGTAGATCTCCTCCCTTGTAACTGACTCTGTGTAACCCTAGCCTCCTCTGGTGTCTATATAAACCGGAGGGTTTAGTCCATAGGACAAGAACAATCATAATCATAGGCTAGCTTCTAGGGTTTAGCCTCTACAATCTCGTGGTAGATCAACTCTTGTAATACTCATATCATCAAGATCAATCAAGCAGGAAGTAGGGTATTACCTCCATCGAGAGGGCCCGAACCTGGGTAAACATTGTGTCCCTTGCCTCCTGTTACCATCCGCCTTAGACGCACAGTTCGGGACCCCCTACCCGAGATCCGCCAGTTTTGACACCGACATTTGTGCTTTCATTGAGAGTTCCACTGTGCCGCCACGATAAGGCTTGATGGCTCGTCTTGTTGTCAAGGACAACATTACCTCGGGGAGAGCCCTGGCTGTAGGCCAAACTCTCCAACTAGGCGGCTTCGTCATGACCGCCCGTTCGGCCGTCGCGCCGACGATGACTTCTCGGGTCATCAAAAACAGCCTCCACGCCGGCTCGGGATTCGCCGAGCAGATGGATCCAATAGAGCTCTCTTCCCTGAACGACCTCTTAGATTGCATCGCCGCCCTGGG